TTAGTAGTATTCTAGATTTGCCCACGGTTAGGAAAATGGTGGCTATCACAGCTCGACCATGTGCTGATTCATGTGTCCTACTTTGCAGAGGACAGTCCTCTATTTCAAGGTATCTTCTATTTAAAAGGCTGTTGAGTCAAAGTCTGATTCAAAGGTAAAAGGGAGAGCAGGGACCTTGAAGTTGCCCATGAGTTGTATGAACCTGGATAGCAGACTGAGAAAGCACACGGATTACCTAGTCAGTTTCCCCCACTGCAGTGAAATGCAATACAGTTCTATTTAAATTAGAGGCATTATTCCTACATTTGCAGGGATATGTATGAATTAGCATATGCAAATTTAATGCAAATCTTTACCTTATTTTGTCCTGCTTGTTAACTTTTCCCTTTTTTTGCAGAGCAAAAGTAGTCATTCCATAACTATGAAAAAAAGACACTGATGGTCTGGTCTGGTCTGGTCTGGTCTGTATAACCGCATTTTGATCTGCAGATATCAGTACATAGTGGTTTTTCATTTGCTGATTGTCTGCAGAACAGATTGTTTTGAAAGACAAGGAGCAGGGGCTAATAAAAGCTTCCATGGAGAAGCTGCTGCTGGCTTTCTGAACTATGGAAAAAAGTGGATGAAACCCACTATAGCTATAGAAGAGATCCATGTGTCAGAGAGACCCTACAGTCTATATTGCAAAAGAATAGGAAATTAAACTCTCTGGGTGAAATAATTTTAATCCACATTGGTTGTGGGAAATTCAGACTTGGCAGTCATAGCTGTTCTGGATTACCATTCACCTTGTTAGCTAGGGGTGCTGGTGCCATTGGAATGCTCAAGAACAAGCGAACATAGCATGCACTGAAACAAGAAATTAAATTGTAATCACGTTTAGGGGGTCGCGGGTGGCGCTGTGGGTAAAACCTCAGCGCCTAGGACTTGCCGATCGTATGGTCGGCGGTTCGAATCCCCGCGGCGGGGTGAGCTCCCGTCGTTCAGTCCCAGCTCCTGCCCACCTAGCAGTTCGAAAGCACCCCTAAGTGCAAGTAGATAAATAGGGACCGCTTTATAGCGGGAAGGTAAACGGCGTTTTCATGTGCTGCGCTGGTGCTGGCTCGCCAGCTGCAGCTTCGTGACGCTGGCCACGTGACCCGGAAGTGTCTTCGGACGGCGCCGGCTCACGGCCTCTAGAGCGAGATGAGCACACAACCCCAGAGTTGGACACAACTGGCCCGTATGGGCAGGGGTACCTTTACCTTTTAAGCTTAGTTTGAATTACAAAAATATTAAAGATCATTAGACAGAAACCTATTATCAGTATACATTCAGGCATTTAAGAACTTAATAGATTCAGGCATTTATAACCCTAATAGATTTGACATGTGGACTTTCTGATTTCAAGTTTTGACAACTTTTGTAACATAGAAACAGATTGTTTTTAGACACAGATTATGTATGGATAAATATAATATTTGGAATCCATTTATAAAAGTATGTCTTGTTAATAATTTTGCATTTAATGGAATAATTACCTGTATACCCATATATTCTATCATATCACAATTTCAATTTTGGGTGTTTTTTTTCTCTTTTTCTTTTATTCTTTCACATTACTCCCTCACTGAAAACTTTTAATAAAAATATAAACCTTACAAGTTTTGATGGCATTGCTGATTCTCATTGTATCAATGTTGTACCGCAGTGGCGTATTGCTATAATTAATCAAAATAATTATTTTACAAACTATACACAATTTCCTGTAGATGATATAAAAGTCCAGCATGCCACATCTTGGTATACACTGCCATCTGGTGATAGTATTTTATGCAGGGTTGCCTTTTAAAATTATTCTCTGTTAACAAGTAGCACTTAAATTAAATAAAATTTGTTTTTTTAAAAAAGGTAATTCAGAGTTTTAAAATTAACCCCCAATAATAGAGAATAAATTCCATAACAATTGCTTTCTTTTGCATTAATAAAGGTAATTTAGGCTTTTTTGCATGACCTTTTTGAGCTATGTCTTTGTGCATCTCCCACAGCAATAGTGCATTATCAATTCACTGGCACCGAACAGATGAGGGGAAAGCCTTGATTCAGGCACAGAGGATGGCACATTAGGGTAAATGGGCACTACATGAGAAGCCTTAAGTCTCCTGGCAACCACCTGCCTGCCAAGGGTGGCTCCACCTGTATATATTTTCTTTGTAACTATATCTCTTTGCATATCCTTTTGTATATCCATTGGCTTTATATTTTAAGTTAGGTTCACAGTGACTGGCATTATATTTTAAGTTAGACTTTGCAGGGAGTGTGAGATGTGAGAATGCCATTCTGCTTTCCTTATGGAATATTATGTCAGTTAATAAAGCTTCCTTCTGATACCCAACAGTCTGCCTGCCCTCCATTGATGGAGCTCCAAGGAACATTTTTGCTTGCTTGGTGGTTGCTACTGACCAGATGACAACTAGCCGCCAAGACATATGCCCTGCCCCCCCTCAAAATCCTCGAAAACTCTTTAGAATTGAGTGTGAGCACAGACGCTTCACTTCTAGATTATGTAAGAGACCCAGGGTGTATGCTATGAATTAATTACATTTCAAATACTGGTGGCATTTAGCGTTAGAAAGATAACATGCATTGCTGAATAGTTTTTACGTGCGGTTCCTGTGTGCCTATTATTTTATAACCCCTGGGCCATATCCTAGAAACTCTATCCAACCCTGAAAGCGGTACAAAGGATGTTGTTCCAGTTAACATCGGAGTGCAAATCGAAACATATCCTCGAAGCTCCTGGGGAAATAGAAGCGAGGGAAGTGAGATAAAGGAAGGCATGTCAACATCCTGCCCAAGGCCTAGTTGCGAGGCGATAGAAATGTGGCATTTGAGACCATAATTGCAAGGGAGCAGAAAGCCGTAAGGAGCAATACACCAGTTTACCAACCCATGACCTGCAACCGCTCTTGGTGTATGAAGGATGTTTAAGAATGATGTTTTTATAATGTGCTACACCTATAAGAAGAAGAAGAAGAGTTTGGATTTGATATCCCGCCTTTCACTCCCCTTCAGGAGTCTCAAAACAGCTAACGTTCTCCTTTCCCTTCCTCCCCCACAACAAACACTCTGTGAGGTGAGTGGGGCTGAGAGACTTCAGGGAAGTGTGACTGGCCCAGGGTCACCCAGCAGCTGCATGTGGAGGAGCGGAGACGCGAACCCGGTTCCCCAGATTACGTGACTACCGCTCTTAACCACTACACCACACTGGCTCTAAAAAAAGAAACCCTTGTTCTGATGCTCCTGGCGGCAGACCTTCTTTCTTAACTGGCTAGAACAAGCTCCTTAAGTCCCTCCTGGAATTTGCTGGAATTTAATTCATTTCCTTGGCTCCTTCCGCGTAGTATATTCATCACCACCCCATTTCCTTTATGACTAAAACGAATCTTACCCTTTTATCAAATTTAATAAATAAAAATAGGGGCAACTGGCTTGCTTCATTTATTGGTTTGCTTTCGCTAGTTTTAGGACGTGGTGTGTGGTTTTTTTGCATTTCCGTGTTGCACTTTTACCCTTGTGAGCTGCCCTGTGGTACACACGAACCCCATATATATAAAGGTAAAGGTAAAGGACCCCTGACAGTTGTCCAGTCGCAGACAACTCTGGGGTTGCGGTGCTCATCTCGCTTTACAGGCTGAGGGAACCGGTGTTTGTCCGCAGACAGTTTTTCCGGGTCATATATATATAATATAATTGTTGTTGTTGTTTAGGCATTTAGTCGTGTCCGACTCTTCGTGACCCCATGGACCAGAGCACGCCAGGCACTCCTGTCTTCCACTGCCTCTCGCAGTTTGGTCAGACTCATGCTGGTAGCTTCGAGAACACTGTCCAACCATCTCGTCCTCTGTCGTCCCCTTCTCCTTGTGCCCTCCATCTTTCCCAACATCAGGGTCTTTTCCAGGGAGTCTTCTCTTCTCATGAGGTGGCCAAAGTATTGGAGCCTCAGCTTCAGGATCTGTCCTTCCAGTGAGCACTCAGGGCTGATTTCCTTCAGAATGGAGAGGTTGGATCTTCTTGCAGTCCATGGGACTCTCAAGAGTCTTCTCCAGCACCAGAATTCAAAAGCATCCATTCTTCAGCCATCAGCCTTCTTTACGGTCCAGCTCTCACTTCCATACATCACTACTGGGAAAACCATGGCTTTCACTATACAGACCTTCGTTGGCAAGGTGATGTCTCTGCTCTTTAAGATGCTGACTAGGTTTGTCATTGCATTTCTCCCAAGAAGCAGGCGTCTTTTAATTTCATGGCTGCTGTCACCATCTGCAGTGATCATGAAGCCCAAGAAAGCAAAATCTCTCACTGCCTCCATTTCTTCCCCTTCTATTTGCCAGGAGGTGATGGGACCAGTGGCCATCATCTTCATTTTTTGGATGTTGAGCTTCAGACCATATTTTGCGCTCTCCTCTTTCACCCTCATTAAGAGGTTCTTTAATTCCTCCTCACTTTCTGCCATCAAGGTTGTGTCACCTGAGAATATAATACTGTAATACAATTCGGATGCTTGGGCCTTCCCACCGTTGGGCGCCTGAAGCACTAGCAGCTTCCTTTCGCGTAGTATATTCACACACACACACCCTTAAAAAAAAAATTAGCCGCTAAAATGAATTTATTGTACTTTCGGGGTTCTGAAGCACCCGCTTCCCGCCATTATCTCTGCGGGGCCTCTGAGGCGTTTCTGAGGCGATTCCCCTGCCCCCTCCCCCCCCTTCGCTTTTCCTTTTCCCGCCGCGCCCTCCCCTTCGGGCGTTTCCGTGAGGGGCGGCTCGGCTCTTTCCGTGCGCCTGAGAGCGGGAGGGGGCGAGCGGGGGGAGACGGAGCGAGGAGAGCCGAGGCGGCGGCGGCGCTTGCTCTGTCTCTCTCTCTTTCTCTCTCTCTCAGAGTTTCCCCCTCCCTCTCTCTCTCTCTCCCTCCCTCCCTCTCTCTCTCTCTCCCTCAGTCGGCCGCTGCCCGCCCGCCCGCCCGCCTGCCTGTCGCCGGGGCTGGGAGAGAGCGCGCGCGCGCGCGCGTGTGTGTGTGTGTTATGTGAGTGACGCGGCGGAGGTGTAGTTTGACGCGGTGTGTTACGTGGGGGAGAGAATAAAACTGCGGCGAGAGCCTAGGCGCGAACGAAAGCAGTGACGGAGCAGCCTGCAGCCGGTAAGAGGAGAAAAGCAAAGGAAAGCCAGGAAGGGAAGAGAGAGGAAAAAAAAAGAGAGAGAGAGAGAGCAGGAGAGGAAAGAACCAAGAGGAGGAGGAGGAGAAAAAAAAAACAACACAACCAACCCCCGCGCGCGCACACACACACAGGGAGGGGTGCCGGCCGAGGGGCAGCAGGGGCCGGGGCTGAGGCGGGGTGGCTTGGCGGTCGGTGGGACGGAGGGGAGCCCTCGGGCGGGAAGGCGGCCGGGAGGGAGAGAGAGAGAGAAGCCAGGCCTGGCCTCGCTCCGCGGGAGGGGCGCCCGCTTCTTCTTCGCCGCCCTTTATTTTTTTCCCGTTTTGTTTCTCTCTCTCTCTCTCTCCCCCTCACTTCTCCGGCCCCATATAATTCGAAATGGAAGCGGGCCTTCTCTCGCCCTTCCCCACAGATCGCCCCCCTCACGCGACCTGCTGTTCCCGCCTTGCCGAACCCGGCCGCAACCGCCACGAACAAAGAATAATGGCGGATGGAGGCGGCCGGGCAAGGCTGGCGGCGGCGGGAAAGACGGCTCCGCTGCTGCTGCCGCCACTACGCTTCCACCTTGTGGGGGGGGCAACATAAAACATCCCCCCCTCGACCTCTACTGCCGTTGGGAGAGCGGGGGCGCGAGAAAGGGCCTCAGGAGAGCTTTCCCCCCCCCATACACTTTTCGTTTTAGTAGGTAGCCCTCCCCGTTGTGGTGGGTCGTCCGTCCCCCCCCCGTGAGGTGCCTAAATTTGGCAAAGGCGCGCAAAAAAATTAAAACCGGATCGCCCCCCCCCACACAACAGGCATTCGTGAGGGATTGGGGGGGGGGGAGAGACACGCGGCGCGCGCTTATTTAACAGCCCTACGGAAAATAGGGAAGCTCCCGCCGCCTGCTGCCTCCCTTCTTCCCCAGGCGCCGCGTTGGGGAGCTTTTGCCCCTGGGGCGGGCGAGGTAGACACACACACACGTGTTTTATTTTCGTCCCTTTATGGAGAGCAGACGGTGGTCCCGATGCCTCCCTCTTCCCTGGTTCCTCTCCTCTCTCTCAGCCTCCAGCTAAATATCTCCTGGGTCCCGCAACAGACACATTTTGCTTTCCCGCCCCTCCGTGGGCCAGGCAGTTCCAGATGTTTGAACCCGCAGCCCTTGGGGTCCAACCCGGGTTGCTCTCCACAGCTAGATAGCTGATTTGGCAGGACCGCCCCTTGAAAAAGGAAAAAAAGAACGTTGTTGTTCTATTACGGAAAGCACAGCTTTAAAAGTTGTGCTTGAGCAGTGCTCTTGAGGTTGCAAGGCCTTCCGAGTTCCTTTTTAATAAAAGTATTTTGGATCAAAACTGTATTCCTGAACACTTTGTTTTCCTCTCAGCTCTGTGCCTAGAATGATACAGTGAAAGCCTGGGCCCACTGAAAACAAAGTTCCTATCGGCTTTGGGGACACCGGGTTTAATCCTGGCGCCCCAATTCCACTGTTTTGCACTTCATTTGCTCAGTACTGTAATGCATGGCGACTGCTTATGAAGAGAGGTGTATAAATAAAGTTCTTATGGCATTAATAACTATAGGTAGAGTAATACATACATTTTATTACAGCATCTGGTTGCAGGGCACTTGGCAAACTGATGAAGACCAAGGGGTTGGTCATTTAAAATGTGGATTTTGAGCTGGGGTTTGAAGTTTTGAGACATTTGGGTGATACAAATATATGATGCATGACAGAGTAGGCCCAATTGGAATGTCTAAATTTTGCAGCAGTAATCTCCATCCTTATTGGTTTTCAGGGAAATGGACTTGATACTGAAAATACCTTAAATGAGGCTGATATGACTTCATGAAAATGTAGGGAGGCTTGCATCACACTTATATACAGTTGTATATAACATTCTTTCCCATACTGAAAAGTGAATTTCATCGCAGGTGTTGAGTAGCAAGTATTAATCTAGGTCTCACTGTGATGTTTGCAAGCATTGTCCCTGTTTGCACTCTCTAACATACTTCATACCCAGGCAACCGTATTTCAGTGGCCACCTCATGATTGGTTTTGTTTATTCTATTTCTTCCTTTTTTTAAGTACAGAAACTCTGCATGTACTTATTTAGGTTCTTTAGTCTGTATCCAAATGCAACTATTTTGTATCTTTGGGTGGGGGGGGAACTTGTGTAATCAACAATAAGATCAATTTTTTTAAAAAATGCAACCTAGAGTCTTTGTGGGTCTAAAAAACCTAATAGTTATTACAACATACTATTTGTGAGCTAGAACCTACTTACATTAGATGCCATGGACTGTTGCCAGTGATGGAGTGAAAAGTTCATGCAAGTCAGGGCACATGATTTTCAATGAGCCCTGGTAGTTTGGGTCCCTCTGGAACAGAAAAGGATATGATACAGTAGTATAGGAAATTTCCTTATACAGAGTTAAACCACTGGTGTATCTAGCTCTGTTCTGTCCATGCTTCCTTACAGTTGCTATCAAAGGTTTCAGATGGGGGTTTCCCAATAATTTCAGGGGATTGCAGCTGGGATCTTCTGCATAGAAGGTAGATCCTGTACCGCTGAGCTACAGCTACAGCTCAGTGGAAGGAAGAAGAGAAAACCAAGTGTCCCAATTTGTGTGTGCAGAAGCATTTCCACTAAAGTTAAGTCACCATTGGATGCAACTCATGAAGTGTTACCCTCAATTGACAAGTGGATACATACCGGGGAGGGGGGGACACCATATATAAACAGCCATGAAATGAAAGAGGTACAGTCACTGACTCTCTTAAGAAAAACAAACCTTATTTTCTCCTTTCCCTTCACAGTTTATGTCAGTCCCTTAGTGCTAAGGTAGAAATTTGTCAGGAAAATGCTGTGCCAGGTGGTTGTTGTTTTTAAGAAATTAGGCACACAGTGTAACAGTAGGAAGAAACTACTTGCCTGTGTGTCACCAAGAAAGGGGAGTTGACTGTGGACCCATACATCATACATTTAAAGCAAAGAATCCTGGGAACTGCAGTTTACCAGAGCTAAACTTCCCAGGATTTTTTTTTGGGGGGGTGCTTTAGCTGTATGGTATATACACAGCCTTAGCTTGTCTTAGCTTTAGACCATGTGGTTCTTCTCTAAAGTAGATCTGTAAAGTATGCATGTCTTGGGGATTATCTTGCATCATTTACCGTATATCTAACCTGGCTTTGGTTCCGTTTGTAGGGATGGCTCATATTCTAAGCACCATATACCCAGGATACATTTAGTAACAGTATTCTTCACAATGCAAACCAATTCGTTTGTTTTCCATTCTTCCCTGATGAGATCCATGGAGAACTGGATTATGTGCTATGTCTAACAAGTATTTGACCCCCTAAACATGCATCTTAAAACAATTTTGTTTGCCGGTATGGTAGTGATGTGAAGTCCTTCATATCACCTAGTTCTATACGTATCTCATCACAGAATGACCATTTCTTTGTGCAGTTGCTCATAGTTCTAGTTTTTCATTGGATTTCCCCTTTTGCAAGCCATGAGTTGTCTTAAGTTTATTTTTACTGTAGGAAAACTAGCACTGAAAAGCCTTGGAAGGATAAGGTGGGTGGGGAATTATATTCTGGGATATGAGGAAGAAAATGTGAACCGGTGTTATATTGCATCATTTCCCCTAGTGTTGCAGCAGGACTGTAATGGACCACTGGGTTTTCTCATAAATGAATGGAGCTCTTTTCACATCTTACATTTATTTTGTCACATATTATGTTGCTGGTTAACACTTTTGCTTTCTGTGCAATATCAATGTGAAGTAATTATTAAATGTAGCACTTTAGTCATGCACAGCAATAGTTGTTCAACCTCTTGCTGGAAAACCTGATTTATGAACCCTTTGACTGCCTTATCTCCTAGTCTGGATTTCCAAGGTGTCTTAAAGGACTTCAGGGATCCCTTCTTTTGACTCATGCCACTTCCTACAAATCCCACTTCATGTCTTGACAAATCCAGAATCCTTCCAAGGCACCCTTTTCAGTTTGGAATCAATCCATATCTGATGCACAATCCTAGTATAGTTCCATCTTTCTCCTCTTAACCTAAGGTGAACAAAAATTGCACTACTGGTGTGATCCCCTTGTGGGTTGCTGAAGAGAACTATAGTTCAGTGGTTTTCTGCCTTCCAGAAAAAGTTTCCGTATTGATCTGTCTGCTGCCTTACAGAAGATTCTGGGACATTGGAGGGTGTAATGTCTGTTCCTGTGAGATTCCAAACACACCTGTTAAGCTTCATGGTTGCCCTGCATAAATGGAATACACCCTAGATTTCGTGTTTTTCCCAGCATTTTTGCCTGTAAAACCACCCCTCCTTCTGTTCCACAGCTTGGCATACAGATAATCTTGTTTATACAATAATGTATATGCAGCCTGCCGCTGTGAGCAAAAATCTGGATGGGACCCTTTATCCAGCACTGAATTCTGATCTACATAACAGAACAACGCAGTAGCTTTTTCAGATCAGGTTAGAATGATGAAGGAAGTGAGGGAGCATAGACCCAATCAGGGCTATTCAGCTCACCTTTATCTTGGATGGTGGTGGGAAGGAGGTTTCACCTGCCTCAGGATCTTACTAGTTCCTGAAAATGTGAATATTCCTTCCAACTGTCCCACAATTTGAGCACCACTACTCTGTTGCAGTATAACACTAAAGGAAGATTAGTAATGCAGATTAATGCAGATTAAGATGTCTTTCAGGAAATATGCTTTGCTGAACTTGTTGAGAAATGCTTCGAGATTCCAAGAATTCTTAGGGTTCCCTGAAACATCAGTCAAAATCACTGCTCTTGTCAGTTCTTTTTAGTAGGGCTTACAGTTCTCCATACTGTAATCATGCTTATCTAATTGCATGTCTAAGCCTGTAATCTTATGATCACTTGGAAGTAAGCCTTATTAGATTCAGACTTGTTTCTCTGTAAAATGTACCTAAGACCATACATGTCAGTGAAAGAAGTCACACTCGTTTCCAAATAACTTCA